AACACACAATTCTAAATCCAAAAGATTTGTCGAAATTTAAATCATTCACAGATCAATCATTTATTATCTTAATTACACATAATGATCCGTAAAATTCCGTTTAATCAGCAATGATTGCAAAGGGATTACGCAAAGTACTCACAAATTAGATTACCTATTAATGATGATTTAGATTGGATTAATAAACATTAATTCGTGTAATTATTATATAGATACCTTAATTTACAATTTATTAATATTCCAAACCTTCCATTAATTCAACCTTCATTTACACTTGTAATAATAATTTGCAGTCAAATATTATATGAAATGTCTAGACATAATAACTAATTACCAATTAATGGTCGTTTTTTGTGAAGTACACCTAATTAATGAATTAATCACTGGAATTTTTATTGTTTTGACTTTTCACTTGTATATTTACAAAAATATACTTTAAATGGTCAGTATTTTATATCTTGTTAAATTAATTGTAATTTTAACGAAAAAACAGGATGAATTGATTCTTAATGAGCAAAAAATGAATCATATGCGTAAATAGTCAAGTTTGAAGACATCAAAAGCGAGAAAAATAATGTGAATCAAAATTTAAAATATTAAAAAATATCAGTCTTGATTAAAATTAACGCCAATATTTATTATTATCAATATCATTAAAAGAAATTGAAATTACACTATTACATCTTGAAAATAAGTTACTTCTATGGACGTATCAATTACCATTTTATCAAAACGATTTAATTTATTACTTCAAAACTTTATATTAAATTTCATATTTGTCTCCATTAATTTGTTCTCCATTAATAATTTCAAAATTTTATCGAGACAAATGCAGAACTTTAATCTTTGCATTTAATTTTCTTGAAATAGACAAGAATCTCTCAAATCTTTTTAATGGTGCAGGAAAATAATTATAACAAATCAATAGACAAATGCCAGAATCATATTAATAGAGTAAAAAAGTAATACAATATTCAAACGATTATAGAAATAGATCCAATTTTATTAAATATGTATAATATGACCCATACCATCTATCTCACCATCAAGATATATCAGTTGCATATGATACGTTCGCTGGATTATAGAGTAAAATATTTAAAATTTTATTAGTAATAATAGTTATAAAAATTTATTAGTAGTAATATTACCTATGACTACATCAAAATCTACGCAACGTGATTTTAATAAAAAAAATTAACTGCATATTGTTTCTATTTTATTCTTCTTAGCTTCAACTTCGTTCGTCGTGGCGAAGGTCGTTAACGCGTCGACTTTGTATGGACAGAGTCTCTCGTTCGATTCCCCGCTCTGGCAATTTGACATCGGGCAAAATTAAATCAAAATATGTTTTCAATTGAAAATAAGCCCATCTCGGGCACTGCGGTGTGAAATGGCAATGGAAAATCTCTCACACTATTCTTCCCTGATTCGAGTTGGAGTTTTAACTCAGCTCACAGACCTACCCTAGGGCAGTACATCCATTATTCATTATTTTAAGCTTCAACTAATTAGTCTTCTAAAGTAGTGCTGTTTGGGAGTGTTATCAATTCGACCCAGTGGAAGATAAATTTTAATTCCCATGCTTTTTTTATTATTAGGTATGGTTCGTGGGGCTTATTCCTTGTTAGAGCCAGATGGTCAAACAATGAGAACAGTACGTTACACTGCCCACCCTGTAGATGGTTTCAGAGCTGTTGTTTCTAGAGAAAATGCTGGGACTAACAATGGTTTGGTGGCTGCAAATGTAGCTGCCTTGAGAAGAGCAAATAACTGGAGATTCAGACACAATTAGAAAAAAAATGAACATAATTCTGAAATTGGCAATACTGGCGATGGTAAATGACATATATTAAACTACTCACAAATATTTCTCCGATGGACTACGAAAAACATTATCCGACATTCACCAATTTTAATCACTACATTTTTTTTTATTTTTAATTCACTGCCAATTAGACAATTAATTAGATCAATATGTTAATTGATTTCATAATATATAAAGTTGAATGAATTATCATAAATTAGTTGATATCATATTTCATAAAGATTGGTATTCAAATTGACAGTATCAGTATTTCTTACTAATCTAAGCTATCAGAATTTCTTGCTAATGTAATATAGACAAATAGTTACAACCATGCAATCGTAGCTTTTTAAAAATTCAATTATTATTTCGTTATAAACAACTCAACAGCAAAATGAAAATGGTTTAATTTTACATTTGCATTATATGGTACAAAAAGTAGAACTCAAAATTAACTATATTTTGCGCGTTACACATATGCTAACAATGCTAACAATTTAAATCTTCTTTTGAAATGAAGTAATTTTGGGAACATCAGACATATTAGTTATCAAAATTTAATAGTTATCAAGTAAATCACGTCATCAATCAATTTGTATTTAACCATATAACTCATTTGTCTCGAAAATGCGCAAACGAGGTGATTAACTATTGTTAAAAATATATTTTTGCGTTATAAATTTAGCAAATCGGAATAATCACTTAATTTCTAGTTTTTCTCTATTTTTTTTAACTTTTAGTCTAACTTTTCGCTCTTTTTTTATTCATCTCTTAGTTATATATAATAAGTATCTGCAGATGTATCAAACTACAAGGCTGACGTCAAAGATGACTGTTTTGAAGAAAACATTAAAAATTGCATTCTTATAATATTCTTCATTCTTTGAACAATTATCATTTCGTAATATTTTACCATATCAACAATATATAGGTAATTCTATCATTACTACAAGCTATTATTTAAGTATTCCACAAACCCATTGACGACCTTGCATGTCCAATTGATAATGATCGCCCAGATTTTGTACAAAATTTTGAAAAGTCGGTCAAGTTGTATCTGATGTAATTCATACAGCATGTATCCGAGAAATTACTAGAACTTTTAACAAAATTTGCTTTTGTAGTGTAGATAAATTTCTTATTTTTAATGTAAGATAATTTAATTATAGGTAATATTGATTTAGAAAAATTAAATGCATTTTTAAGCTTTGTACATAACTGAAAATAAAATAAATTACTTGCATAATATTTAGAATTAGTACTATTTTGATACATTTCTAATGACTAAAAAATATACATGAGACAGTTGAACTCGTAATATAAATTGATATCATACTAAGTTATTGAGCAACCTTTCCTAATTCACATTACAGATTTTACTGATTTTTTCAATGATTACGAAAGAAATAAGTTTTGAAACATTTTGAGTGAAGTGCGTCTTTGCCTTAGTTTCATTTTTGGCCAAATTAATTATATTGAAACCAGAGATACAAAGATAAACATGTACTTCCATAAACAATTTTCTGCATCATAACAAAATACATAACAAATATAATTTTGATCTATAATACTTTATTTATAATTTTATGTTATTTTCTTCAGATAATTGCGCCTACAAAATTAAATTCTCCTCTTTATTGAAGATACTGCT